GCCCAGTCCCCACTCGGCTTGAAATCCGGCAATAATTTGTATGTATTTTACTTATCTGATAGGTACGTAAATATCAATATACACCGTGTCAAAGTTTGAATAAAGAAAGTTATGAATAATTCTCAGTTTTCAACATTTATCGCGCTCGTACGTCAAGTCGTAGCTCAACTGAGTTGAAATAGAAAATATAATTACTGACCTTGGGAGGTTGTCATTCATGGAATTATATTGCTATTTTTCCAGCAAAGGATATATCTGATTAAACAAAATCCTTATAGTTATCAACGACGTCATTTATCAATTTATGTATTTAGAAAAAACATTTKCCGAAAGTAATGCGAACACTTCCGAAGTAAATACGGATTTGCTAAATCGAAGACTTGACGATGTTTGCCCGAAGAGCTAATCKTGTTGTCCAGGCCATCCCAGGCCATCRTTTAGGACAATTTGTTCAAGAAATGTCGTAAAATTGGGAATATTTTCTGTAAATATCATGTCAATAGTGGCTGCGAAGCACATACATGTAAAGGAAATGAATGATTACGATAGCATTCGTAACGAAAATCTCGTACTTCGAGAAGAGCTCCAAAACCTACGAGATGAAATGGTCAATGAGAGAAAAACKCGTGCAAAACTCTCAGAAAGCCCTCAGGATCTTCCATTAGAAGGAAGAAAAAAGGTCCTAAACTTTGCAGATTCTATGGTCGAGAAAAATGAACAGTTGAAAGAACGAATAACTAGTTTCCAAGGACGCCCATTGAGGGTCAATGATGGAAGTCGTTTTGGYGGGAGAGATTTGGAMGTTTTGGGAAACAGACTTGAATCCATGCATAGSGACTTAATGGAGAGCAGTTTGATGTCCAAGTTGAAAGGGAAACACATGGTTAATCAAGGTATTTTTGCATTTGCGGCTCATCAAACGATAGCACTAATACCAAAACAAAACCAGACCGGTATGGTGACTCGTGGAGATCCAAAAATTCCAGTTTGCAAATTTCAGCTTTGATACTTTGATTAAGACGATGGGTTTGCTACAGGTTTTTTTTAATTTAAAATAACAAAGTTAAGAATAACATAAGTTACTTTAGCAGCATTTTTGGGGAAAACTCTTCGCTTCRAGGAGACGAATTGTGACTTTACTTCGGCATGCTGGTTTGTTTACATTTGGAGCGGTCAAACAAGCACAACGCATTGTACATGACAGTTGACCATATAAAACGTACCTAGTGCGTGCAAATAAACAGACTATATTTATTGATAGATATGTACTACTGCAAATGGATTGCTCTCAACCATTTCCAAACAAGTAATTCTCAAACAATATTATATTAAAAGTCCCAAATACACAAGAAGCAATTTCAGTTTAAGCGTGGCAACTACGACACTGGTTGACACTTGAATGGTTTTTGCCTAATCAAAGTTTAAAATTTCAGTCATCAYTTAGTTATCTAGCCATGGTTTAGCCGTGGTTACCATAACGTTTATACATTAATCTATAATTGTCTTGTAGCTTTGTTTTGTTGTTGGTCTTCCTGTGCCCTTCACATTGTGACACAAGGAGACKGAAAGTGTTTGAAATACTTCAGAAATCCAATGGGATGGGTTTCACAAATACATTGATAACCTTGACATTAGAGAATAGTTTTAATAAGTGTTCCTGTGTCAAAGAAACAAGATATTCTACAAACCTTTTTAACTTATGTAATTATGGTTCATTATAATTTTTTATCGTTTTTTTTTTAAATAATCCTCAGAAAATGTAGACAACCTTGCAAATAATTTCAAGAGAGTTCTAACAGAGCTTCAAAGTCTTCGTAACATGCTGTCACAAAATGGAGAAGCTATTATTCATAGCAATGTAATATCAAGGGTTAATCATCCAGGTAATATCCATGGTATTATACCTTGGGGGAGGGGTGTTGATGATGAATTGGTCTACTTGCGCAGCTAGTCACAACTTTATAAATAAAAGCAAATATGTAATAATAATAATAATAATAATATATTTGTTATTGTTTAAAGAAATTCATGACTAGTTCAAACTTAATTCATATGCATATCTTCAGGTCCCAAAACAAGTGGTTTAGCAAGCAACAGTCAAATAACATCATACCATGATGACCTGGTCTTTCTTACTGGACCTATAACTGAGAATGCCTTGATTTGTACATTACAGGATAGACTCTGGGCTGGACATTGTGTTGTAGGTTTTTTTACAACTGTATACCAAGCTCTATAAAATGACAATGTAATATATTTTACTTTGTTACAAAGTAAAATATATTACATTGTCATTTTACAGAGCTTGGTATAGGCTAAAGCAAAGGAAAGAAATTTGAGAGAAAATGAGGATAAATCTGACTAATAACTTTCTTTTAAATGTTATGATAACAGCATTAATAATGATAGTGTTTTTTTAATATTTTAGACTAAACTTGGACCAGTTTTAGTTTCACTGAATACRTTTGCCCCAATGTCAAACCAACTGCCAAGGTTCACTACAGACATTGCTTATCTGGARACATCGGTCAAACAAACTATACGCAAATTAATGGATAGAGAGATCCCRCAAGTCTTTGTACTAAGGTAGTTACTTCATTGATCAATAAAATTCATTGTTTTTGATAATCTAGATCTGAAAAACTATTGAGGYTAAGAGTTGGGTGAATTTTCATTGAAAGATGATATTATTTTATATCCCAAGTGGTTGCTGTGGTAGTGGGAAGACTTACACCTCGCAGATATTATCAAGATTAATTCTTGAACAAGGTTATGGTGGTCTAGAGTCGGACGTCTCCAAGGTAACATATAGTGTCTCTATTCTATGACGTACTTTGTTCAATTTATAAACTATTGTTGTTTTTTTGTCATCTGTCGTAACTATACTTTTTGATATACTTATCTGATACGTAGATATACTTTTCGAATGCYGTTGAACTGCAAAAATTTCAAAGCTTCATCAATCATCCAAAATCCTCATCCAAAAACCTTTCATTCAGTAATAATTATTAATTAATTCCCTTGTGTTTGGAATTTTGATTTTGTTTGTTTTCTCATCAGCATTTCTTGGCATCAGTTACTGTAATGCAAGCACTTGGTAGGGCTAAAACACCTGCCAACGCAGACTCTTCAAGAGTTGTAAGTACTTTTATCATGATGTCAAAGTGTACTGGGCATTATAATTGTGCTAAAGGAAGTAATTTATAGTTTATGTACTGCAATTTAATTAATTATTTCAGGGATATTTATATGAGTTTCATTTCACTGATGGTAGTATAACTAAAACAAAGATACAGTCCTACCAACTAGACACTGTGAGTACTATAATCATCATTATCATTTATCATTATCAGAATCATATTTATCATTGATGTCATTATTGTATGAATGCCCTTATCACTGTCCAATATTATTCATGATGGCAAACAAACCATCTGCTGAGATTTTTTAACCACAATTGTAAGACAAATCATGATAAATATCTTTCTAAAGATCAAGACGGTATTGTTTTTGTCACCAAATGATTATGACATACCATTGTCTTTCTTTTTGTTTCAGAACAGAGTGACAGGRCCRCCAGTTGGTGAAGGAAACTATCACATATTCTATGAAATGCTATCAGGCATTACTCAGGACGAAAGAGGTAGGTACTTAATGTACATCAATTAACTATAATTGCTATAACAATAATGTTTTTAAGCTGTATATGACTGTGTGTAAGTTGACTCAATATAGATATTAAGTTATAAGACAGTAGCATTAATTTATCATCATTAATATTTTCTGTTTTGTTGCTGTCAGCTAAACTCCATCTCCAAGGATACTCATTTTACAACCTGAACTATATGAATAACTGTCCRCTGCCAAATGAAGATGATGAAGATAACTGGAAAAGAAAGTTTGATCAATGGCGAGTAAGTCTTCTTTTTTTTCTTTTCAATGAGCTACTGTTCAAAAATACTTTCACTTAATCTGTTATTCCACCTTAATGACAAATGAATTGCACACACATTCTTAAATTCATGACTATTCTCTTGTAAGGTTGGTTTAAGCACACTTGGGATTCCTTTCCCTGATGTACTGAGAATCCTGGCTGCTATCCTGTTGCTAGGCAATGTTCACTTTGTTGAAGGAGAGGGACTGGAACTTAATGTCAAAGGAAATAATGGTAAATTACATTGTAAAATTCTCTTGGGCTTCCTGTTTGGTGTGCATAAGGTGGATGAAAAAAGTCTTCATTTTAGAAAGGGACCCCACCCAGGAAGAACCAAATTTTGTTGTCCTTGTTGTTGTTGTTGTTGTTGTTGTTGTTGTTGTTGTATTATTTGGTTGTGATTCTCTCATACAATGCATCACATTCTCAATGAAAATTTGGATCTCATAGCTATCATATTGATGGTTGACAATGGTTTTGTTTTTCTGTAGAAATCAAAGCTGTGGCAGCATTATTGGGTGTGTCTGGTGTGTCGTTATACAGAGGTTTAACAACAAAAACTAAGAACCTGCGAGGACAGGTCTTTCGATCACTCTGTGAGCCAGCTGTGGTTAGTAAACAAGAGTGATTGACATCTCCATACTCTATGAATTGATCATGATGAATAAATAATTGTATTGATATTGTTATAGATATTAATAATTAACAATATTTGTCATAATGCATGGAGTTGGTGTCTATAACATACAGATATAATGGATTCATATCTATAGGCTAATATAAACCGAGATGCATTAGCAACAGCCCTGTACTCTCGAACCATGACTGCCATTGCAAGACGTGTCAATAGCTTCAAGAGACCAACYTCTTCAACAACAACCCCACAGGGGATGGGTGAGTCAAGTCTAGTTACTGGAATGACCAATGGGGTGATGACATCACAACAAGGTTGGTAATCATGTCATTCATTATGCAAAAAGATGTACAGTCACACTAACTTCCTCAGAGCTTGTGTGTTAAAGCACACATTAATTTGCACCAGAATTTAAGCTCAAATATGAAGAGAATACCTTATACTTTTGTGTTTATAACTTTCCAATTTAATGATAAATGCATATTCTTTCATTCCAGCAGTCTCACCAGTCCTCAGTCYAGTATGGCCATTAAAAAATGGTATGCCATTTCCACCAAAAGGAACGACAGGTCTTGTTACCGTGATGGACATGCTTGGGTTTGAAAATACTAAAGTACGCTATCAASWCTTTCCCTATATTGTTGTAAGTCCATTTATTTAATWTTATTATGTTATGGTGTTTGATATTTCAGGTCAATCAGCTGGAGCAAATGTGTGTTAACCTTTGCTCTGAGACYCTGCAACATTTCTATAATACACACATTTTCAAGAGTTCTGAGGAATATTGTAGGTACGCTGACTTTATATCTTTTTGATTGATATTGATTTGCTGGTTGTTTTTTTTTTTTTGAATGACTCATGAATAATTCACTGGCATGATGGCTAACACTGACGGATAACTCACAAAACAGGGAAGAAGACATCTTCAATGACTTTGATGTTGACTATGTTGATAATGCAGCTTGCATTGAATTAATGACTTGTCAACGTGCAGGAMTCTTTACTTTACTAGATGCAGAAACAACAAGGTTAGATAACTTTTATAAACAAACTCATTCTGTATCTAAAAGCCCTCTTTTTTAATGCATATTCCTGTTTTGAATTATTACTTAGAGGGACACAAGAGAGTTTACTTGAAAAGATAAAACAAGAACACAATAACACTTCATGGTAAAGCATTAACATTAGTTCTACATTGAAACATGACAGATGAAAGTTATTGATCAGAAAATATTTCTGTTAATTCAATTCCTGGTCAAGTTGCTTGAACTGATCTTGAAAGCAACCACGCAACTAAAATATGGTTGTCATGTTTCTAACAGTAATTCATGCTCTTCTTGTAGTTTCTATGATCCAGATCCTGACAGTACTTGTTTTGCTGTATCTCATCATGCTGATAATGTAAATACGCTATATGRATCTGCATTGAATTTTACATCTATACTTTGTGGTATTTATTTTGTTTTAATTGTTTTCACAGGTTGTGTATGATGCGAGGAACCTTATTCGCATAAAC